AGTATTAGGTTGTCCGTAACCCCTCCACTCAATTGGGATTGGTCGATTTTCTTATGCTTACGTCTTACGGCTTTACGGGATTTTATGTGTGAAGGCCTTAACAGCCTTTCGTAAACAAAGAGAGAAGGTAATGGCAGTAGCTTTTTTCATCTGCGGCTGCGCAGTAACATTCAGTATTTAGTACACAAGCATGGGCGAATATTCAATCTGAAAGTCAGATTTTAAGTTTTATTTCAGAAGTTACTAAATTTGGAAAGTTGTGAATTTTTTTTAATTACTCTAAAAATTGAATTGTATCTCGTGTTTGAAATGTTTGTTAAGTTTATTGTAACAATTATATTACTTAATATTTTATTTAAATTCCTTCGCCTTTTATTTGTTTAAAAATAGTCTTGTTAATAAATAAAAGAAATCATACAGATAAATCTGTGAAAAATATTCGGTATTTACACACTCAATGAATTGTTCCTACTATAAATAATTGAGAGAAGAGTTCGAAATTCAATAAAACGCCAGAATTTGTACCATTTATATTTGCAATATATTAAATAATTATTAATTAGATACAATCATGTGTGCGATAGTAATTTAAAGTCATATTCATTTCTATATACATTTTTTTTTCTTTTCCTCGCTGCATTACTTTCTCCATTTTTCATAATATTTTAACAATCTTTTTCTTCATCTCGTGAGAATCTTAATTATTATGACACGTGTTGCATACACCAGATATACACATAAAACATCGGGTTCCCCTATTGCAGCTCCTTTTATCGCAGCTCCTCTCCGATATCGCATTTTAATTGTCATACAAAAGTGGGCGTCTTATATCGCGTTAAATAATTAGTCGATTATATCAACTCCCTTCATTCATCGGTACCTCGATATAGAGACGTGTAACATTGGTGTGACGAATCCTCAAGGTCTACAAATAGCGAGTACGTTACAGGTGCAAATTACCGAAAACGAATCGCAAGACGTAGCAACGATGGGTACAAGTTCGCAACTTAAAACGTGTTGAAGGAATGAAAGTACGCCGGAAGTTCGAGAGTTACACAGTCCACTGTGTATCATTTGCATATATAATAGCGCAAGACCTCCTCCTTTGTTCCTTCGACGAACTTTTTTCGCTTAAACCTCATCGTGATGATCAATTATCGAAGTTACATCATCTTTATTCTCATTCAAATCACCTTGTTCGCATACATATTCAAAAGGAATACAGGTGGACGATAAATCTCAACCGTCCGGCGCACTCGAGTCGGCAAAGAAAATCGATTTGGCGAGAAGGGAAGGATCGCGAACATTTAATGAGGTATAATACTGTTGAGTCGATTAACTTTAAACTACCTACCCTCAGTTCCAAAGCTTAACACACACGCACGCGCGCGCGCGCACTCGCGTATTACAGTACAATTAGCACTCGGTTACTCCGCGGTTGATTAATCGTCTTCCCCGTTTCGCGAGCCCGTTACTACGAGAGACTTTGGTACCCGTCCTGACGACTTTCGTCGTTGACGCGCACGGGCGGCTTTGATCCGTCGTTAACACATTACGATGCGAGGGAGGCACACGCAAAAGTAGCTATATAAAATCGCACATGTACATTCACACTTGATGATCGAGACGGTCGAACGGCCAAATTATGGTTTTCCATATTTCTCGCACTTCACACCAAGAAGTAGATGAAAAAGAAGAACGTCAAACAAAAACGCGACTGTTAAGAGCGGAGAAAAATACATGATAATTATGTGCGTATATATACATCACATGGAGACTTTAAACCAATCGATACAATAAATAGTTGGGATAAATACAAAAAGGATAATGCTGATTATGAATAGCTAACGTAATAAACGTAGTAAACGATAATAATAACGTAGTAAACGATAATCAATATCGGTAATATGCCCTTTTGTAGGTAACCTAAGGGTAGGAGGAACTTATAAATATTACGTCCAAGTATCGTGTTAACTTATTTAAACGTGACTAAGCTTCCTCGCGATACAGCAACGCGTATTATGTGTTTCGTATAAAATTCGAAGAGTGTCTTCAACAAGTTCGCACAAGTTTTATTTTGCCGAAATAAAATCTTACGAACGCTCTGCGTATGAAACTATATATAGAATCTGCACATGGTGTTCGGAAATACGTTTTACGGAAACGCTACAGCGGAGGACCCCGCGGAAAACTAAGTTACGCAATTGCGAACGGTCTCCTCTCGAACGTTTTTTTCGCTGCGACGCACGTTAAAGGCACGTTTTTCCGAATACCTCGTGCGTGGGAAAAACAGAAAAAAAATCCCAGTCAAGGGATTCCGCATCCTACACACATGTCTTCATCGCATTGATACCAAATTTACGTCACTATACATACCGTGTTCTAACTCAATATTAATAAATTATTACAAATCAGTTAGTAAATATATATAAATATATATATATATATATATTTTTGTACGGCCTGGGCCATACCGTGATTATGCCGCGAAAAATTTAGCTCAGCGTGATTAGAAATAGAAATTAGCGTAGTTGGCAATGGCAGTACTTGGAAGAATAGAGATACGAATTTTCGGAGACTTCTACCGACTATCACAATGCTTTACAAATACTAATATCATAATAGCCCACGATAAAGTTCGTAATTCATCAAACATCGAGCGACCGGTGCAAGAAGACTCGTCGAATATACCACCCGCTTGCGTTTCCTTGCAGAGGTCTCGTTACACATTCAACGGATAAATGATTCGAGTACTTATTGGATACGAGTAACACAGATCGGACACAACGTTTTTATAACATATATCCAAGGTTACACGTATACACTTAAAGTTCATAATAATCGAAAAGCAATCAAAAGATTTAAAAAGCAGCATTGTTTGAAACTCTCTGTGTGTTTCACTTCATGATCGTATTAGCAGGATAAACATCGCATAGAACCAAAGACACGGCGTCTAACAATACCTTGGAAATATGAGATATATGAAAAGTAATTATTTCATACACAATTACGTACAAAATTAATTCGTATTTAAATCGCGTATCATCTAGAATGTATAACGTGTCTAAATTTTTCTTCACGTTCCGCCTCGGTTACGGTTTCTTTTTAAAATTATTATCAGATTGTAGTATCCGTTAAAGAGATAAAATTTACATAATCATTGTGTGTTAATTAAGATTTTTTTTATATCTAGATTTTAAAATGTCTTCAAACGTTTGATGCTTGCAGGTATATACGATTTTCAATCGTTACGATTTTCATAATGAAGCGTATATGTATAAATATATATATATATATTGTGTGTATAATTATATGTATATACATATACATATGTGTTTGTAGACATATATGTATATGCATACATATAATTATCAGATGAACTCGAAGTTTACTCGACTAAAGTAAAGGCTTAATTTAATTTTTAAAGCCTTGCACTCGCGTTAGGCTTCGTCATTTTTGTCGCGTCGGAAATTATTTAACTAATTTAATTTCTACAATATGATCCCTGATTATTAATCCCTGTAAAACGGAATTTTCCCCGCGCGATTGTTGTATATAACCAAATTTTACGTACATTTAAAAATTTCGATTCTCTAAATTTGTGCAGCAGATAATCTTTGGTTGCCCAAAAACATCTATCAATATGTTGGTTACTTCTAAAATAATCTACATTTCCGTAAGGCAGAAGCCGTTTTATATCGTATGTTATAATACTTCTAAATCTCAAAATCTTAAATAATTGTGGCTATATCATGGCCACTGTTAAACCACATTTGTAATAATTTGTGAACTATATATAATGTATATAATCACATTTATATTTTTTCATATATTTTCAAAATTATATATATATATCTATATATCGGTTCCTTCTCTTTTAGTAAGATCGACAATTCAACTCTCTCAAATCATTTATAATTTCATACATTTCCGTAAGACAGTTGCAGAAATAAAAAATTATAATTCATTGATTAAGATATAACGAATTAGGTAGCTACAATAAATTAAAACGTTTAGAAATTACATTTTATTTCGTAATATCTTATATCTTAAAGAATTTAAATCGTAAATTTAAGTTTGAGAGAGTTAAAATAGGATCCACATAAAAATGTTTGTGCCAGATTTTTATACTAGTAAAATATCTATCTTTGATCAGTGCTTTTCTGATGCACCTTTACGTAGAATTTGCCAGAACACGAAGAACAGGAATATGAAATATTCCTTATTCGCTTATTTGACATTGGAGAGAAAAAAAAGACCAATCCGGCTTCATAGGAAATTTAAGACTGACGTAATAGCGAGAAGATCAATCGTTACATCGATGGATACGATAGCAAAAAATAACTTTCAGTCGTTTAAGGTAGAAATAGGCTATTTTAAGGATAGTGTGTGTATATATATTTTATATACATATACACGCATACTCGGGAAGAACATCAATCCGGTACATGATAGCAGAACTCGTTACTCCCTTAGTCAGAATCCTCTTCGATCGGTGGAGGTAACATGGAGAGATGCTGCGCACTGAGCATCCCTTTGGAAAGCGCGTATTCCGCCAAAGCACGGTGGCAAAAGACGTACTGATCCGGCATTTGAATACTATAGGCCCTCTGTGCTCGAATCTTCTCGACAGTTCCCCGTATGTCTACGGTTCCGGTGTCCTCCAGTCGCGATATGCAAATGTCCAAGGTGCAAAATGTGCCTGGAAACGCCACCAATTTCATGTTATAACTCATATCTAAATTTTTATATATCGCGAGAAAGAATAGCACTTGGCTAAATCACAATTCTGCTCGCAAGAGGCATCTATCTACCTGTTCTTCCGATGCCAGCGCTGCAATGTACAACTATAGGCGGTCCTCGAGGATGTCCGGCCCACGTGTCTCCTCTGCTAGCGAGTAATTTACTCTGCTGCTGCCTGACCAGGGACAAGAACTGTAGTAAAGCTTTAGCCGACTGGGGAACACCGTAATCTGGCCACACTGTGTACAGCATATGGCAAACCTCCCTCGTCTCATCAGTCTGAAGCAAGATAAATGGAACGTGAAGAAATTCTTTTAATTTACACATTTAATAATTACATTCGAGAGAAAAGAAATACATCTAAATATATACCTTATTGTTTGTAAGGAGAAGCATGGATATTGTGTAATCTGGATTTGTGTCGACTTCGAGGGTGGTCACGGTGTAGCCACCCGCTTGTACTTCATCACCCGGTTCCGGGCCCCAATACTGCGCACACTTTGTACGCCCTCTTTCCACAACTCTGAAACAAGGACGGTATATTCACTATAAAGTTACATGTAAAGTTTCTAACGCGAAATATGATATCGTTAAAATTGCACAAAACTTTATATCATGCAAGATGTGGTCCAAGTTTACTAAGAGTTACGCGCAAATAAAGCCAACCTACCTCGTAGTCATGACGACGACTAAAGTTTGCTGTTCCCAAACCATCCTCCAGAAATCACCGCAGGTTTTCGGAAGAGGACCCTGAGTACTGATAAACGCGTTCTTCTGCTTGTAACCGTCGACGAAATTCGCATTTATGTAATCGGACGTCGCGTCTCCGTCTATTTGTGAAAGGCAGACTCTGCTGTGGTCGTAACAAAGCACATCGGTGTAGCGATTCTTTGATTGATTAGACCTTAACCTGAAATGAACCGACACCAACCGTATATTAATTAACTCGAACCCGGGATTAATGTAAAGTATCGCGCAAAATATTGCTTGTATTACGCACTTTGCATTATTAAATGAACCATCCGGCGGCCTCTGTCTAATTTCCGCGTATTCCGCGATGAGACCGGCGCGTCCTCGCGAATGTATATCCGCGATAAATTGCTCCATTGTAACGGCCTGGAGACCAGGATCGCCGTGAAGACTGTCGTCGTCGCTAAAGCCGGAGCTAGCCGAGGACGGAGGCTGAACTGGGGATGGCGCCTCGTCGGTTCCCATCCATGCGTCAGCGTTCGCGGTGGTGATCTCGATGTCACCGATATTCGACACGCCATTTTTCACCTGCTTGTTCTTATCGATTATGGGACTAGTCGAATTACTATGCGTCGTAGTTCCATTCGGATTTTGATGAACCGTGTTATCGTTCGCCGTGGGCGACATTGGGCTACCTACTCTTGGGGTGACCTGAAATACCCATAATATACACGTGAGATTAAAATTATTAATTTACTAATAATAATAAAATTTTTGCTTTTCCACTAATAGTGGAATCTTATTCTTCTAACAATTATCTGAATAAAATATTTCACTTTTACATCAGTAACATTCAAACAAAATAATTTAAACGTCCCAAGATCTTTCCTTTTTAAATCTCTCGAACATTCGCGCATCATATGGGTGAGAGGAACGACATATGGTAAATTTAAAGTTGCAGTTAGATACTGACCTCACACAGTTCACCCCCGCTTCGGTTCGTCATAGATTTAAGACAATGTAGGAGCCATGCTTCATGCTGTACCTCCAACGTGCCGCCTAAACGATGTGGTAATGATTCTCGTGGGATATGCAACGTCAGCTGAGGGATGGATACTGTGAACACTCGGTCCCTCAGTTTTTCACGAACAAATAATCGAAGGATCTTGAACGGCGCTTTGAACCACAACGGCGCCGTCACTATCAAAACCTTTTTTAATTTTGCTGGATATCCACCCTGAAAAATTAATGCAAACAAAACATGAATAACTTATTTATTTTTTTATTATCAGAAATCGAAAAACATATTCCGATAAAAATTCCACTAATATCTTATTCCAATAGCAAATTTAAAAATTGAAATTTTAATATTTATTTAAATAATAAATGTATCCAATTAATTATTATTTTACATATTTGTTTATTTTATGCAATAAAATAAATTTAATAAACAAATAAATAATAAATTAATAAGCAACATTATTTACATACAAGAAATTCCATATTACATAATTTGTTTTACAATTAAACAAATTAAAATAATTATAAATTTATAATTTCAACTAAAATTTAAATCATTATTAAATATTTCCAAATCAATTTTAATTTAAATATTGTCTTTACAAATTTGCCATCATGTAATAAGAGTATAAAACTTTGATTTTTTTATTGCGGTATCTTCCAAATTTTCAATAAATAAATAAAAACGAAATGAAATTGAAGTGCTGGCAGAGAGTAGTATATCGCGTACAAATTCGCGATTCAGCGTGAATAATTTCTGAAAGCACGATTTCGCTTCGACCTTTCAAAGACATTGCAATAATAGAACAGGCCATATATTGCACATTGGCGAATCGGTTGCCAGCTATAGACCACGTAAGCGACGCGCGGAGACGATTTACGTGCGAAACAAACGCGACCGCGTCCCTTTAATCGGATTATCGGAGAATCAGAAAGTGCCTCGAGACGAAGGAAAAAAAAAACAAGGAGAGAGATAACAACATCTTCCTGGCCGCGATTTTAATCGGCGAATAAACCGTGGCGAGCGTTACGCGAGCGAACGCGCGCTTCCCAGATATTTCGTAACGCGCGGATAAAATGCAGGAAGCCGAGGTAACTTAACCCTCGGGATACGGACCGGAGGGCGGAAGTACCGTAACGCCAACGACGTCAGCAGCACTACCACCATCATCACCACCACCACCAACCAACCACCACCGTCGTCAGTGGCACGTAACAGCCGCTACGTATACAACAAACGTCATCGAGGTGCGAGGCGCGTAACGAGGACGGGGCGCACCAGCGCGAGTCTGTGTTCCGGGAAGAAATCGGCGTCTACGTTCCGCGAGGCTTGGCGTTACAATTTTAGGAGCGAGGTGAGCGCGCGAACCACGCACACGGTCGTCTCGAATTAGCCGCGGGAGTCGCGCGCTTATTATTCCGGCCGCGCTCCGTTGGGTTGCCGTCAGCGCGCGCCGCTTCGTCGCCGATTTCGTCGAAATTGCGCGAGGAGACGCGCCGCAAAAATTAGCCTGTCGTCCGTCGTTCGGAGGACGCACGGCCAGTCGGTCGGACGATCGATCTCTCGGCTGACAGAATCCGAAAAATTTACCGTGAGCAGCAGCGGAGGCAGCCGCGACCGGAGCTGGACGACGCAGCTGGAGCAGCGGGCGAAATCGCGCGCATATCAGCCGCTGCAGGCGTGCAGGAGCAGCGGAGGGGGGAGGGGAGGGAGCCGTGACACGACGACGGCCCGCGCCTTCGTCGCCGTCGTCGTCGTCGTCGTCGTCGTCGTCGTCGTCGTCGTCGTCGTCGTCGTCGTCGTCGTCGTCGTCGTCGGGCTCGTCTCAATTGTCTTGCGAGCCGAAAGGAAGAGGCCCCCGGTTACTCGAAATCACTGCCGGCACTCTCGCGGTCGAGTTAATCGATAGCGCGAGATTAGTATAACACCGGCGCGCGGGAGGACACCGCACACGTCTGACAGCGGCGGGATCGTGATGCAGAGCGTCGTCCTCGCCCGTCGTTGACGTCGTCGCCCGTCGAGGTGAACGGGGCGGACGGCGAAACGGACGTAGCCGTGGAAGAGCCGCCTGGCTGGCCTCGCACGCGAACAAGGACGCGATCGAACGAACAGGGGGAGCGAACAGACTCGCGGCGGGAGGGGAGGAGAATCGGGTCGTCCTCGTACCGTATATATCCGAATGCGAACGTGGTGGCCGCAAGGGGGTCACGACGATTACTGACCGTCGTCGGCGTCGTCGGCGACGGTTATCCGGAGCGCCGCGCGCGGAAACGCATGCGCCGAGCCGCGCCGTCGCCCGCTCTCTCACCCCACACGCGACCCCTTCTTTTCACCACCGACATCCCTTACGCGAGAATTTCTCCTTTTTTTTCTCTCCCTCTCCCTTCCCGCCTCTCCCTCTCACACACACTCTCTCTCTCTCTATCTCTCTCGCGTTACCGCCGGCAGCAGAGGTGCAGCAACCGTGTATACGCGGTGACGTATTGCCCGCCAGTGCCTCTCAACCCCGCGCTGCTTCCGGTCGATCGCGCGGAGTTTCCCCGATACCTCAGGGAAATCCGCAGCTTGGAATAGAAGCTGCGTGAAATTTTCGTGCGTAATTGTTGAAGGATTAATTAACGCGAATGTTAATTGCAGTCCGCGGAGACTGAGGGGTCTAAGAATGCTATTTGTAGTTTGAACTTTTGTTTAACACGTTGTCTGTCCAATGAGTTTTATATACCTGTCCATATGCACCATAATAGAATTTTCATTACCACGAGCGTATAATGATTAAATAACGTGTAATATAACCAAAGTAAAAATGTGATCAAGATCACATGGATATATTGAATAGCGCATTTTTTACTTTATTATCTATTTACGTCGTTCGAAATTTTACATTAAATGGCATTTATTTTTCTTTTTTACAGGCGCTTTAAAGCATTTTAATAGCAGCGATCGCCAATGATCATCAGGACAGTCAACGTGTTAAAATAGTTTTAAGTATCTTGAGACGTTACACGCTCGTTTCATTGGCCGGATGGAAACTTAAGATCAATTAACATCTCATTTAAAATCATTTTGCATACAAGATCGGTCTGTAAAAATACCACCCTTTAGAGTCTCGTTCGGGGTTATTCGGTAATCGATATTACGACATGACTGCCGTTAGAAAAAGAAATGTCAACGGACTAACGGAGGAGAGTTCACTGATTCTTGATTTATGAATCGGTCGATTCATAAATGAGAAAACATTTTGCAGTTCCTTTTATCCCAACTCCCTATCTTTCTTATCGGTCGACGCTTCGTTTCGCATCGTCGTAACGCGATGTCATCTCTCTCTCTCTCTTTTTTTTTTTTTCGTCGACGCCCGACACGTGCTTTCCACGGATGGCGATTTTTTTATCTGACGGAGGATAAAACGGCGAGTGTACAGCGAAACGCGGGCATCCGTTCGAGCGCGCGCGAGAATGGACGCAACGCCTACCGAATTCGAGACTATTAATTACGCGGCCTAGGATGCAAATGTCATCGCGCACCTTTGTAGAGGCGCGTAAAAGGCCATTATCAAGCGGGGCACCTTGGAAGTACGGTTCACCGCGCGATTGGGATCCGATTAAATTGCGTGTGGCGCGTGAAGGTCCTTCGCACCTTTACGCTCTCTCGATAACGAGCGACGATAATATCTCGCACGGCGGGAAGAGGAAGAAAAAAAAAAGACCGAGCGTCGTGTGGGCCTCGTCTGTAATCGCCTCGTCGGATTATTCAATATTTTATTTTTTTTTTCCACGGTTACGTCGACGAGATATATACGTGACGTCGTTTACAGGAGAGGAAGTCTACTCCGAGGAAACCTTTGAAAGTCACACCCTACGCACTACTTCGACGCGCCTGGTCGCGTAATCGCGTAATCCACCTTTCGCGAAGCGTGAACGCTCTTAAAAGCGTCTCGCCGCTCTTCGAGCCGCACATCCTCGCGCGCGCGCGTGTGTGTGTGCGAGGAGCTAAACGCGGATTTTGCGAGGCTCGTCAAGAAGTAGAAGTCTAAAAAAAAATATATGTAAAATAAAAAAAATAAAGAAAGAATGAAGGTATGACGTATTATCAATCGAAGCGACGTAACGAGCATCTCAACGAGATGTGACGTACGTCTTGGGGGAAGGATATATTTTTGCAAAGAAGCTTCATATACACAGGACGCCGACAGGACGCTGTGAATACTTTTATCCTTTGAGAACGACGAGGCATTATTAAATCATGCGGGAATGATCGATGACGTGAAAGTCAGGGTAAAGAGACGTCACGTGCATACATCTATAAATATCCTTGTAATGACGTCATTAAAGTGACGCCTGCACTCGGGAGGAGCTCACGTGAATCAGTTACGTCGCCTGTGACACCATTTTTTCTCTCTCTCTTTTTTTTACGTAAGTGGGCCGACCGCATCAAAGCGTTAACGCACGAGACTATTTCGACCGACCGGCGATGACTAATTGGGTTAAACTTCAGCGACGGTAATAACTGTAATGACCGCGCGCGCTACGCCGGACGAAAATTGCACGCAACGTGAATGTTAATCGGGCCACGCACTTAGACGTTTCTGCCAAATGGCACTTTGTGCCCTCGTGTAATTCGCATAATTATTACGCTACTCCTCGGAGAAACTTCTTTTCCTCTCCCAGAAGCGCGGAAGCTCCGCCGTTCTTATTCATCGCGCCGGAATAAAGGCTGTCTCACTGAGGAAATTCAGGCCGCGGGTAGCGACGCCGCGCCACTTTGCAAATTTGTCATTATCATTGAAAGGAGAGCCGCGATATCCTGCGAAGTGAAATTTCTAGCGACTAATAACACACAATATTTGTATGTACATTCATTTAAATATGATAATGCATGTATCTCCTCGTAATTAGGCCTCGCGCTCTTTCTCACGTCACGTGAGAAAATATTTTCGAGTAACCATTTGTATTACGAACTGCGTTACGACGTCACGGTTTACGAAATGTAGAGTGTAATCATTCAATGACATTCGTATAATAGAAATTTGCAAAGTGGCAAAATTATTTCAGCCGCGGCCTCTACACGTCGTGCGTGTTCCGGACTCGAATCTAAACGGATGGCACAACGGCTTTCCTTCGCGCATCCCGACATTCGCGCGTGACAGAGCACCTCTGTCACATCGTGCGGGAATAGAGAAATGAGACCGTGTATCGTCATATACATAATGGCCACTCGCCGCAAGACTCACTCTCCTCTCACTCTCGATCACGATCTTTTCTCGCTTTCTAACTCCGCGCGCGCGCGGCCAGTGGTGCCCCGCCGCTCCGCTCGGGCGAACGCCGAGTCGTTAGGCCCGCTCAATCGTGTCGCGCCGAAAAGTATTACGCATATTTCGAGAGAAAACGGTGCGCAAATCGATGCATAATGCGCGGAGAAAATATCGATGACATTGCCATTTTATATTGCCGTCTAATCCAATTCGGCGCGTCTAAAACGGAGGAGAGAAAAGGGGAGGAAGAAAAAATGAACACGAGAGATTCTGGCACAGAGTCGTTCCCGCGCGGCAATTTTGCAATAGGAAGTCGAGAAATTCTTCACGTATATTATATATCTCCCCGGTGAGAACAAGAGGAAGCGAACTTCGCGCTTCCTGATTATTTAGGTAAGTCACGCGTAGTTGACTGTCCATTCTTTTTTTGTTCGCATAAGTTTCTCAAACAATTTTTCATAGATTGCTTTCATGATAAATTATTTATCTTATCTACGCTCACATTTTCTAATACTTTTGCACGTTTCCATCGTAATTTTTTATTATTTTTAATGAATGCTGAAGCTAAATCAGATTTCACGGCCTGCTTGCGGACAGATCACACACGTGCATTACCCTACACAATGATTTCCTACCAATGTACGAAAAATACATTCGTCGACTTACCTTCAAAAGTGTCAGAATTTTCTGAGACAGGTCGTAATCAAAATTCTGATACTTGCTGTCGGACATGTCATAAATAAAAACTAGTCCATGCTTCTGCGTTTCTGCACTTTCAAGGGCAGCATCCAATTGATATACAACACCCTGCAAAATATGAGAGAGAGAGAGCTGGTTAGTTTATAAATTTTAAAGAAACTTCCTGTTTCTCGAGAGAAAACTAGATATTTGCAGTTATAAAAAATACACTTCACAACTCATTGAAAATTCTTTCTTAATTCAGTCATTAAGAACTTTGTACAACTTACTTGCAGAGTTGTTTGATGCGTAGTATTTTGTGGAAGATGCAAATGCGCTGTGAAAATAGCTATCGCTGCACCTGTTGCGTCTCTTGACGGCTGAAATAATTTATACATTAATTCGCTTCGAGTTGCAACGACAAAACAAAACGCGTCTGCGTTGTAATTGACTTCCTCTTACCAGGACAGTAAATTTTCCTGTGTATAGCTCGCTGAGTAGGGGTTCCTGGGTGGGATGCAGGACTGCTAATCCCTCTCTCCTCCTAGTGGCTTCGTGCTGCTCGTACAGAGCTAGGGCTCGTTGAACCTCAAACTTCCGTGCCGCTAAAAACTTGACCGCCGTGCTCCAGGAAACTGGTCCAGCTCGTCTACCGGCTCTACACCTATTCACAGCTTCTATAAATTCCTTTGTAGCCTGCGGGAAAAGAGAAGTACCATATAAATGCGATATTCTTGATTTTGAGAGGGAAAAATCTTAAGTGATTAATAAAGTGAAAAATAAAGATAAATTGTAATTTTTTTATATACATATATAAAAATAAAATTTTCTTAATATAAATATAAATCGCAATCGTTGTCTGTAATGCTGCAGTTTAATATAACAATCTGAATATTTTTTTCACTTTATACATTACAGCTTTCAAACAAATAAGAAAATTATTTATATACAATATAAATAACAGAAATAAATATTAATAATATAGAGTAACGAGAAAACGATTTAACACATCATAACGATGCTCTGGAATTTAACAAGGCATACGACCACCTCTTTCTATTTTATTCTTATCACTCGCCACAGAAGCGGAGAGCGTAATTATTCTATAAATATGTTATATCGCACGTTGCTGAAATCAGTGCTGGATAATGAAATGTGCATTGGGCAACAGAGAATTCCGGTCGCAATCGCTCAGCATCTTGCGTACGCCGTTGCACAATATCAACCTTGAAAACGGCGCTTCGTGGGCACGACGGCGGGCAGGAAATCGCGAATTGCAATCTTTATCAGCGCGACCCGATCGACGCGAATGCAACACGTGCATATCTCGAGTATTCGTCGAGTCGGCCAGTTCGTCGCACGTGATCTCGTAACGAAAAAAAAAAAAGAGAAAGAAAAAAGGAAAGAAAAAAGAAAGACAGGGATAGACGCTCGCGACTCTCGGAATTTCGAAATATAATACCGCCGATGTCGAATTTCGACGACGTAGGCATGGGAGAACGGTGTCTTCCTCGTCGTGTCTTTTTACGAATGGAAACTCGAGCGTTCTGCGTACGCGTTCTGTCCGCGCTTAATTGCCGACATCGAAGGAAAGGAAAGAAAAAATCGATCGAATAGAGAATTGGAGCTTGTCGAAAGGAATATTCGACCCGAATATCGAAAGCCACGAGCGCTCTCATTCCCTCCCCGCGCGAGCGGAGCTCTCACGATCGCGCGTCCCGATCGCGGCCGGCCCGTCATTCGTATTCGAGATGACGAGATTACAAGACGGCGGGGATCGAGACGAAGCGAGGCGACGGGACGACGTCGATCGCCGATACGCCGGCGCGCAAACGCGGCCCGCCGCCGGCCCGCGTACGTATCGTTTTTACGCTATTAAAACGAGCAATGACCGTGGACGGCGACGCGTGAGTGTGCACGTACGTACACGCGCCGGGTATACTACCGATACAGCTTCCGGTGTCCGGCTACCTCCCCACCGGTCATTTCCGTTATGTGCCAGCCGGCGGGGGATCGGCCACGGTGGTACCCGCGGTACCGGGCCGCCGCGCCATGCCGGGCGCGTGTATTAGAGAGCCGAGGAATTTAATGCCGCGGAGAGAGAGAGAGAGAGAGAGAGCCCTTCACGGGCGCGATAATACGAGAGGAGGGGGGGAGCATCTCCGCAACTTCGCGAATTCGCGCGTGAAAGCGCGAATCGCGTGAACGCGAGACGACCGCGAGCGCGCGGCGTCGACCTCGACGTCTCGCGACATTATTTCTTTCCGCCACGCGTGACGAATGCCTACCGGCGCGCTAAACGAAGGAGGGAGAGAGAGAGAAGTTTGACGACAGAATTAATCGCGTGGCAGAGCTGAACGAGCGAACCTGGAATTACATATACAATAACGCGAGTACGAGAGGAGGGGGGGGAGGGGGGACGGCTCGAAACGCGTGCCCTTCCTCGAAGACGCGATACGAAGACCGGTGTGTGTATAGCAAACGACAAATGTGTACTTGTTACGAAGTTGATTACAACACAGCTGAGATTATTTTATGAGATTATTATGTGAGCGAGAGAGTAAAAGGATATTAATGCATTCCTAAATTCCTCATTTCATGTTGAGACTCATTTAAATTTACCGAGTGTGCAAACGTTAACGTTATATCGCGATTATGTAGACTTTTTTTTTAACGCGATACAATTATGACGGGGAGTGAAGAAAGGGTCGAGAGATCTATTCATGGTTAAGGGTTAATGAAGCTATCGCTCGATTAACCCTTAATCTCCTTAACCGGAGGTGACTGCCTTTGTCAAGACCGGGATTATTATTTCTCTCTGTTTCTATGCAACGGGGGCGCGTGTTCGTTAAAAATATGTACGCGCCAGACGGAAATTGAACACCGCAAATCGATACCCGGGAAAATCTCGTTTACCAAGAAACTCCGCTGAAGCTTCAAATCGAGTTTGCTCGTCGCGTCGAAGGTTAGCAACATGGAATTATTGTCGTATTGACGTCGTCCATTAAGACTCACACTCGGCCAATTGTGCAACTTGAAACCCTTTGTTTTTTTTTTATAACAAAACTTCTAAATTTATCCATGCAATAAATACAATGCGTTCCCGAAATCAATAGTATATTTAAAGACTCTTTAATTGAAATTCCTTATTTAAAACTGGAACGATCGTTATAGTTAGCACAATATATGCATCCAATGCATTTATGTGTATCACTCCAATTGGAAAAATCTATATTCTTATCTAATTATTCGTGGCTTTCAACATCGACCCACTTAATTTTGTTTTACATTTAGAGGAAAGTTTTCTTTCCCGCGAATACGTCGTGACGTTTCTCGGCCCACGAAAGGATGTACTCTAAAAAAATATCATTTCCGTGCGAGACGCTGTCACGCGTCTCTCTCTCTCTTGAATTGTGTGCGTTATACAACTTTATATATATCTCATTAAGCAAACAGGAACTAAGGCTTCTCCGGTCATCAACGATGTAAACGTTTCCTAATCGCGTTCCGAGAAGAATCAATGATTAAGGCTTCTCATAAGTCGTAAACGTCCCGTCAAGCAGGAATCGGAGGAAGCTGCTTTTACGTCGCGAGTGATTTAGCGTCACTCGCGTATTTCGACCGCGCCCTGTACGTAGAATTCAAACGACTCCGCACACACCGCGTGTGCGTGCGCGCGCGTGTGTATGTGTCTGTGTGTGCGCGTTGCAGGCCGGCCGTGAATTTTTAAGCGGCGGAAGCCGGAACGCGCGCGCGAGTGGAGCAACACACGGGTATCGACTCGTGGCCCCCGCACGTATACAGTGTGTGTGCCGCAGTTTCAAAATAGTCGAAATTTCCCGACGCGGCCTAAGCTGAGACGCGCGTGGGCGTACCGCGAAGGAACCGGCCGCCGGAAACGCGGCCCATTATTAACGTCCCGACACGTTCGAAACGTTCGAATTTCCGGCCGCGTGATCAGGTCCGTCCGCGTCCGTCAACGCCGCGACTCTCTTCGTTGCAGAGGCAATAAGGAAGGAAGTACAGCCGCTCTCCAACGTCGGAAGAGACGGCGATTTCCGTGGCGTGTTTACGCGATCGCTATCGCTATACCCGCTGCCGACGCTCGAGCGCGAGATAACGACCGAGCGGAATGCACGCAAATGATGTTTATATTCTCGCGGACGCGCCTGCCGGAGTCGCCGGAACGGCGACGACGACGACGATTCCTCTTTTTTTTGTCTTGAGCGAGAGACTCGACGATAATCCGATTTCCGATCATCACGGATCGTAGCGTTTCCACGGTCGCGAAGAGACGTAGGTTTCATTTTCGCGCGTCGATGAAGGGACACCGGACCGCTTCGACCACTCTCGAGTTCTCGGTTATGAAGCGATGGCCCATTCGCGATTCACGATCGTCCGTCCGGCGATCCTTCCCTCTCGATCTCCCGAGATTCAAGGCGAGGCCCGGCGACGACGGCGATAGCGATGGCGACGACGACGACGACGTTGATGATAGATGATAATGACGATGGTAATGATGATGACGGTGGCGGCGCGCGACCCCGACGTATCGAGCCAAACGTTCGATCGCGGGGAAACGTGAGAGATAAGGAGGCTTGCGGGAGAGAAAGAGAGAATACGCTCAACGTTCTCGGGATGTTACTCACTTGCTCCTGCTCGGCGGTTAACGTGGCTGCCATTTTGGCTCAGCGCGCTGGCATGCCCGAGGAGGAGGCGTGTACCACCAGAAGCGGAGGACGCGCGGCGCGTGGCGTAGCTTTTGTGATTACATCCAGCCCCGGTGTGGTGCGCGTAGTACGTCCGCGGCAGGAACGAGCATTCTGTTGCGTTTTCCACGCGCCGAGAGTGAACGATCTATCCCTCCTTGCCGTGCGAGACGCACTGACCGGATCCTCACAGAGCACGGCTCCCGAGTACGACGACGGCGACGGCGACGGCGGTGAAGGTGGCGGCGATGGCGACGACGACGGAAACAGAGGGAAACGATAAATCACCCCGGCGCGCGACCATTGTCTCCACCGTCTCGCACGCACTCGAACGCGGTTGTGTGACACTCTCCGCTCGGCGGCCCTCGGCTCGGCTCGATCGTCTTCCCCTCGGCGAACGCACCGCCATCTCGAGGCAAGCGCGCGCGCCCGCGCACGCACGAGGCAGCGCAACGCGCGCGATCAGTTTTTTTTTTTTTATTTAATGAATAATCGTTGAATTCACGCATCGATAAGATTATTTTAAAACTACTGCGATAACCGGCACAGTTTTACGTTTGATTTATCTTGCGTCACAGGATTTAGTGACGCTAACGAATGCGAAAAAATAGCGAAAGCGTCACGAGATCTATTGTCACGATTAGTAAAGAATTTTTTAAAAATTGAAAAATATTTAATATTTAATTAAGAGATAAAAATCGCACAGTTTTATAGTCGATAAGTTGTGTACAATTACTGTATGATATAAAACTGTAATGTGAAATTATTACAGTAAACTTAAGTTATATTCGATGTTACCTGTTGAATCGGCATCAATCCTGGCGCGAGAATCCTCCACAGAAGATTCCAACATCAAGACTCATTTTTCATTCGATTATAATATTACTGTATTACAGTAACGCAAAATTAATTTGAATTTTTTTTCCATTTCCATTCAACCGAATAAACAAATCGTTGATAATTGTGATAAAGTAACTGTTTTGTCTAACAAGAAAAACGCAACTATGCCTGCCGACAGTCAAACGTGATAATTGACGTGAAAAACACGAACATTTTTGATAAACGGGAAAACTCAAAATTTTGCTCCAGAAACAATCGTTTGCCGTAATCGAACTGCTTAGAAATGTAGGCGAGTCGAAGCTCATTGAGAATAACAAACAGATAAACTTCTATTTTATCAACTCCAAGTGGACTTCGATTCCACAACACTCAATCTTAACTCTAAATCTTGGAATTTTACTTACGGCTTATGATGCCGTTCAATTCTAAGAATTCGAAAGAATCGCTAAAAATTCGCCCACATTTCTACAGATACGTCGTTCGTAAAATGACTCCCGTTGCATCTCGCAGCTCGAGACCGACGTTTTCGTGGACCCGAAAGGAGGATGGAGAGAGGCGCAATGATCCAGACGCCGGGGCGTTTCGTAATATAAACATTTTTTTTTCTTATTCAAACGTATGGTTCTTACATTTACACAGTACAAAAAATTATACTCAGACCTGCCGGCCCGCGGTTCATAACTGCTATGACTGGGGGCGGCCGGTGGTTGCAGGAGGGGTCGCAGGGGGAGGAAAGGGGTGGGTAGCGCGGAACTCTTTTTTTTTTCTTACTTTTCCTTCCTTTCTCTA